AAAAACATATAAATTATTACTGAGAATCGCTGAAGCAGCCTGGGCAAAAATGAAATGAGGCTTAAGAATTATGAATATTTTTTAAATACTGCACTTGGAACAACTGCTCATAAAATTTTTTGCCTCAAAGAATCAAGAATGGTTAGTATTGATTAGTGTTTTTTGTTGTTGTTTAATTTCGTAAGCAAGGCTATTTCCTTCCATGACCCTTTTGATTCTCATCTTTTCTTTTACACAAGCTGTTTGGAAATCTTCCTGATCTCATCTGACATCAGGAAGGACATGCTTTTCCCTCCTGGCATGCTAGAGAAAGAAATCAATTTCTTCTCCCAGATAGGTCGGTGAAAGTCCTTCTCTGCAGTGCTTTCTATTGCTATGGTAACAGAAGATGGGATTTCCCAACAGAACCAGGCTTATGTATTAAAAAACAGTTCTTTCAAAACTTGATCCCTTTTTTGTTGCCATATGTAAATTACAATAAATGCAATAAACTGAGTACCAAAGGAAAAAGAGTGACAGCAAACCTTTTTATGTAGGTGTGGAATGAGACTTGCATTGTATTGAGACTCTTAATGAAAGGATGTCAACTTTAAAAGTTTTAATATTGTGACAGTGTTGTCATAGCTAAAATAACTTGAAAAAGTTGCAAGTTTTCTTAGAAAAGCAGAGAATTAAATATACGGACTCTCAGTTGGCAGATAGACTTAAAATAGAGATAAGTAGTGTCCATACATCCAGTCATAACATGGTAAAGAGGATGACAAGAAGCCCAAGGTAGAACAAGCATTTTGTGTGATGGTGGTACTCTCCGCTTCTGTGACTTCCTCTGTAGGAGAACACAACAGTTGGCCATTTCTCATGAGATCTTATAAAAAGCCTAGGAATTCAGGGGACAGGGTTCTTTCCATCACAGCCCCTTAATTGTATACAAAGACCTGACCTTTTAATCTGCTGGTTGACTAACAGTGTGGCTGGAGGGTGCCTTCAGAGGCTCAGAGAACTCAGAAAGGAGCAAAGAGCAATTTTGAGATAGGTGGAAAAGGATGGATTTGGTTTCATATGGGGAAAATTCAAACATAATACTCACCTGTCATTTAAAATGCTTCTGAACTAAAATTCCAAAGATATGTGGAATTTTATTTATTAAATAAATACTTAATAAATCTGTAACTCCACTATTATTGATACCTTATATTCTCTTGCAAATCTAATGAGTAAAGTTTGTGAGCTTTTCTCCTTTTTTGAGGCTTAACATGTGCTTTTGAAATGACATGACAAATTTAAAAGAGAAGTAAATGTCATTTGGCTGTGCCCTGGATGACACATGGATGCCATTTGGCTGTGCCCTGGATGAGACATGCCACTCTGGTGAAAGGAGTGAAGTTTCTGGGAAGCTGATGGGAAAGGTAACAAATAGTAAAGGGAATAAAAGTGGTTCTCTGTTCTTGCTGTTCTTGACATGGACATAGATAAATGGTAACATTGTGAGTCACTCTAAGCAATCATGTTGCATCAAGCCAGTGAGGTGACATCAGAGACTGGCTCATGAAAGGAGAAAAAGCTCACTTTGTTAATGTACCCAAATGGCAAAGGAAGACTGGAGAAAGGGCTGTAAAGAGGTGATTTAACAAAGAGTGTGAAGGAACTTCTGGCAAGAAAAAAAAAAATTGCAATGTGAACTTTTTAATAAATGTGATAAATTTATGGGCTTCAATATGAATGAAAAGAACAATAACCAAAGTAAAAATACTTTAAATCCAAAATGTGAGGTGTTTGGAATAGCGCTGCTGAGTAACTAAGGCTGGTAAGTTATTTGAAGACTTGTTGAAATCTGTTTATTCCATTCTCCCAACCCCTCATTCAAAGAACTGAAATAAGTCAGGAATTATGGGATTAGAGTAAGAACAACTGCCTGGAGCAGTGATTTATTATTTCCTTCTGGATGCTTCAGAATCTCAGGAATCTACCAAGTATCTCAAGGATTTTAAAACAGAAGCTGTGATCACAGCAAAGGAGTTCAATTTATGTCTCTTGAAAGTGTTTCTGGCCATCCAGGGGAAATATGCTCATTCTTTATTTTCTAGTCCCTGGGTGGAATCTGTTGCCTTATAGCAGGGGGAGAGGCAATATGGCAGCCAAGATTATTGGCACCATTCATTCCCTCTTGAAGTATTTTGTTAATGCTTACTCTGCTGTATCATGTTCCATGAACTGTTTAGAGTGATGGAAGACAGCTCCTGCCCTCACGGAGCATACCATCTACTCAATCATCATCTTCCTAGCCTTGAGGACTCCAGGTGTGATGCTAACCTGAGGAGTCTCCTTGGGTTCCCCACTAAAAATAGGATAGAGTTAGGCCATCTTTTCCCAGGATCAGGCTTATAGGCTTCAAACTTTACTATAGCCAGGCTCTGTGAGTTACAAACCCAGTTGCCCACACAAAATCTTCTTTCAACTTGAACGTGCCCAAGCTCGTCCTTTAGTCTCAAACATCCTAAGCCTTTCCCTCTCTGTTCTCGCCCCCAATAGCTCTTGACTCTTCTTCTGTATCCCTTCTACCCATGTCTTCCCTCACTATCTCTCCCTGGTCCCTAACTGACCACCCTGCCTATCCTAACACCCCTCACAGATCTGTCCTTGCCCCTGCATTTCATCACTGCTAGGGTTACCTTCCTCAACTACGAAACTGTTTATGCTGTGTCCTGCTCAAAATAGTCATTGGTACCCTAATTTCCTGGCCTGGCTAAGACAGCTTTCAAGAGCCGCCGCTGCCTGCCTGACCCATCTCATTTCCTGCCATTCTCTGTAAGACTTAAACTGTGGAGGACATTGTCTTTTCTCATGAATCCCCTTTGCACCTTGTCTGTCATATGAACTCATGTCTTCCCTAATGTCCTGGACAGCTGGTCACTCCATCCTCTATATTTCTCCATCCTCCATCTTTCTATGTTACTGTGTATATATATTGACATATTGTAATTATTTATTTACATGTCTCTTTCCCCTGAAAGTGGGCTCCTTGAAAGACAGCAGTGTGATTTCTGTTTATATATCTATGGTACTGTACCTCACATACCGTAGGTCCATAAGGACCTGTTGAATAAGTGAATGAGCTAAAATATACTGGTTTATCAACAAACAGAGTTTTCAGACTGCTTCCATCCACTCAGCTTAATGAGCAAACATGGCATGCCATAATCTTGCAGTTTTCTGGGACATCTAGATACTTTGAAATAACAGGTGTGTCTCAACAAAATTGAGATTGGGAGGGTCCTTTCTTATTGATCATCTCTCACCAACTGAATGCCAAAGTGTTCTACAACCTTAAATAGTTACAAAGCTTCTAGCATTCACCTATTGTGAAAGCTACCCTTTATTATGGGTTTTTTGTATTACTTGCTTATGAAGATTCCTAAAGATATATTTTCCAGCGAGCACTTTTCAGATGTCCAACGTGCATTTAAAGTACGTATTTTGTTTTTGGAAGCCATATTCACACAGATATGCTTATGTTGGTTATAGATATATAATGCCAATTACACAAATGATGAAATTTGTATTCATCATACTCTGTGCCAGGCACTCTGCTAAGTACTCTAGACTCACTGTATCATCTGTTTTCTGTATTACCTCTTTTTAGATGAGGAAACTGAGGCAAAAGATGAAGTAATTTGTCCAAAGAACCAGAGATAGCAAGGGTGGCCAACATACAAATCCAGTGTCTGATGTCAGAACGTATACTCTCATTAACATCACGCTAAAAACTGGAAAAAAAAAAAAGTCTACTTCTATTTACTGTGTAAGCAGATGCTGAAAATTGAAATGGGAAAATTTCTATTTCTGTTTATTTTTATTTTTTTTATTTATTTTATTTTTTTTTTGAGACTGAGTCTGGCTCTGTCGCCCAGGCTGGAGGGCAGTGGCCGGATCTCAGCTCACTGCAAGCTCCGCCTCCCGGGTTTACGCCATTCTCCTGCCTCAGCCTCCCCAGTAGCTGGGACCACAGGCGCCTGCCACTTCGCGCGGCTATTTTTTTGTATTTTTTTAGTAGAGATGGGGTTTCACCGTGTTAGCCAGGATGGTCTCGATCTCCTGACCTCGTGATCCGCCCGTCTCGGCCTCCCAAAGTGCTGGGATTACAGGCTTGAGCCACCGCGCCCGGCCGATTTCTGTTTATTATATAAGCATAAGTTTATACAATGAGCTAGTTTCCTATATAGGTAATGTGCTCTTGATTCCCAACATCTTTTTTTTTAGAAAGGCACAACATCTGTACATACTGAATTTAAAACATTAGGGTGATTTTTTTTTCCATCTAGGAAAAATACTTCTCAACGGCTACTGACTCCTTAAAATATCAGTTGGTATTTGACGAAGTTTCATTTTTATCAAACTACAGAGGAAAATTGTTATACAAACCACAATTGTAATTTGTAGTTTTTTGGTGTCACAGTGATCTATGTAAAATGGAAACTTTAACTTAAACTGTATAATCTATAGCAACAGACACAGAAATGGCACTTGACTCTGGGACCCCTTCATGCTTTGAAATCCTAATGAGGATAGTATCCGGCGCTTCTGCAAGCAGATTTAATTCTGAGAAGAGAACCTTTCCCTAGCAACAACATTAAAAAAAAAAAATTAAAGTCAAAATCTAACTTGAAAACAATATTTTGAAAATCAATAATTAAATTTCACAACATAAAACAATTATAAAACTATACAGATGACTTTAAATTGAATAATTACAATCACAGTAGCGCCTAATTTTCAAGGTAACCAGTGGGTAAGACCAAATGAGATTGTCAGACTGTGCTGAGCCTCTCTGCTAAAGTGAACGTTTCAATTAGACAAAGTAATTAATGACTTTGGGGACAGTTCAGCCTCTTTCTCTTGAGATCACCTTGTTAGATAATTTAAATGAGAAACAGATTTGGATAAAAGATGATCAGTGTTTTCTTCAGTTGGAAGATGTGAAAAGAAACCTTTTTCTCTTTCAGCCTTGCCTTACACCCAGACAAAACTCTTGTTGCAACTGGCCAAGTCGGGAAGGAGCCATATATATGCATATGGGATTCCTATAATGTCCAGACTGTGTCTATTCTTAAAGATGTCCATACACATGGAGTTGCCTGCCTGGCTTTTGACTCAGATGGACAGGTGTGTATCTTTTTTTTTTTTTTTTTACTTGTTTTATTTAATGACTTCTCACAATTCACTTAAAACTATAATACCAATAGCCAGTAGACTAAAAAATCCATCAACCCTTGCTGGTTCTCCTGACACAGCCTCCTAGAATTTTTTACCTGTTTTTTCCTCTTTAAAGCTGTGGCACTAACACCAAGCTCTGGATAGGCCTTGGTATTGGTTCCCCTAGTCCCACCATCTGGTCAAAAAGCCTCCATAAAAGAAGTCATTAATTCATGCTGATAAGGTTCACCATAGCCCAGTAATTCTACTTTGTTGTCTGTTGTTAGCTTCCTATTTGGAGTAAGGGCTGGACCAAGCCTTATTCACAGACCTCAAGCCCTGAGCATGTCTGTAGTACTTCTTGATTTCAAAAGATGACATCACCTCCTAATAATCCACTGAGAAGATTATCCTTGACTCTTTACCTTGATGTCATTTCTAGCTTCTTCTCCCTGTCCTCTCCCAATTCAATCTATCATCAATTCCTGGGTATTCGTGTTTCTTTACAATAACTGACATTCTCTCCTTTCCATTCTCTCTGCCACTGTCCTGTAAGTGCTAATAAGTCAATGTCATGTCTGACTTAGTTTAACCTCTTAGTCTCCTCACAGGCAATTTCTTGCTAATGCATTTCATCAATTGAAAACAGTGTCAAAGCGTTTAAAACCAATGAGAGCTTGGAGTACCCAGTGAATAAAGTCCACACTTTGTTAAGTGGGCATTCTGTTTTAGCCAACTTTTCTAGACTTTTATCCGTTGTGCCCTTGTCGAATTGAACAAATCTGCAAGACTCCTGTACGAGACCTTGCACGTTTGTACCTCTGGGCCCTTCCTCAGTCTGTCCTGTCCACCTAAAGTGTCCTACTCACCCTTTTGCCCATTGAAGTGATTCAGTCTCCAAAGGTTTTTACAAAGCCTGGCCAATCCCTCCCAACAACATTTTCTCTTCTTCCTTTGACCTACAGCAGTACTTGGCAGAAAAGATAGGTTGATATGTTCTAGAAAAAGTAAAAACAGGGGTCATTGCTGGCTCCGGCTGCATTCATCTCCTCACTAAGGCCGGGCCTCTTCTCCCCATTTTCTCAACCGCCTCCGTTTCCTGTGCCACCCTTCCTCTCTCTCTCTCACCCTCCATGTTTCTGCCTGTTAATTCCTTCAGTCTAATTTTTGACAAATTTCAGAGTTAAATCTGTAAGTTGGTGCCATGCAAAGATCTGTGAAATTATTCATAGAGGCTTAACTGAAAGTCTGTGGGAAATTCAGTGGATTATAGGAGTTGACCTGGTTTGAGTCACTTTTGAAAAACAATTAGCATTTACTTGCTGTTTTCTGCTATTTTAAGAGAGCATCAATCACTAGTCATTTTTCTTTCTAGAACTAGATTCACTACATATGTAGACCCCTGGAATTATATGTTCTTTATTTTACTCCTCTGTAATCTCATCCAGTTAGTTTAATGCATACATTCTCTTGTATGTCTACATAAAGAGACAATAGCTGGATGCCAGTATTTGTTCAGGCTTGCAGTTATATTGGCTTCCTAAATAAACTGAAGTGGGTCAGAATCCATATGCATGTACAAGTATAAATGTATGCTTATGTGTGTACTGGTGTGCACCTTCTCTAATCTGATTTTGTTATTCAAGCAAGCATTCTTTATCAATTTGTTCTGAAGTATCACAAGAAAATGTAATGCAGCAAAGGGAAATCCAGCTTTAACTTAGTTTTTGTCCATGTTAATTTATGTTAGAATCCTAACTATTTTCCTTTAGATTTCATTTTGAAGGATGGTGGTGGGGGTGGATTGCGTGGTACTTAACTGTCAGGTGAGAGAAATAACCTCTTGTATGTTAGCCATGATGGATTTCGTGGCTTGTTGATGACTATTGCTTCAGGTCCGCCTTACTCCCTGGACAGAGTTAACTGGAATTGAATGATATTTAGAAATGACAAATGGCCCATCACCTCACAATCGACAAAAGGCAGTAGAAATGCTTTTCAGGTAGCTATGGAACCTGTCACTACAGATAACAAAATAGGTTTCTTTCAGCTTTTTCTCAATCAAGAAATGCGGGTTTTACTTCAGTGCCCCTATTTGTGTTAACTGGTTTTCTTCTCTTAAAAAGAAAAAGCTGAATGGAATTCATCCATTCAGATTTTCTTATGAATAAAAATACAACCACATCTTATTTCCATTGCTGAAACCCTCAATTAAAAAATTACAGCAAAGACATTTTTTAAGGACACATTAAAAAAAAAAAACCCAGTGATGTGTGTTACATTAAAAATTCCTAGTGGAAGCCAGGTTTAGTGAAGAAACCTGAAGAATCCCTGCATAACAGCACATGTATACATTTAGCCATGCGTGGCTGGCTGTTTCATCCACACTGAGTGTGCACATATGCAGACATACTCTCGAATGTACTCAGTACGTACATGCTCTTATACTTGGGGAATACCATATGTTTAAAACCTCTTTAATTTACGTTACTTCACTTGACCCATACAACAACCCAACAAAGTAGAAGGAATGAATATTTTCTATACTCATTGTACCAATGAGACAACTGAGATTTAAGGAGGTTCATTTTGCAAGGTCTTATGTCTAGCTACTTAAAAGTGAAAAGAAAAGCCAAATCTACTTACAGTTCAGACTTCTTACACAATGCTGTCTCCTTACAAGTGATATCCTGCAAGAAACTCTGATTTTGGTATGACTGTTGCCTGTTTTTCACACTTTCGGTTTTGTATATAATCATATGTGTTGAATTTTATTTTTCCTTTAAGGACAGGTTCTGACCTGAACCCAAGGAATTTAGGCTGGGAGGTGAAGTACCAGATTACTTCTACTTAGATTATATTATCTTTTAGTCACCTTAAATGTTTGTAAAATTATAGAAAACTAAAAATTAATGTTCATTCTATTCGTCAAACCCTTAAATTTTAGCAGTTTGAAGCTTTTAGACTATAGAATCCTGGGTTCTATTAAATCTCACATTAAGATTTTACCTAAAAATTTTAAGTTAAAAATTCCAAATACTGCCTTCAAGTTCTGTTTCTGTAATTTCTATTGACTTATCAGATGTTTCCTGAGAGTTTACCTGTATGTTTCTTACACTTAAAAGGATAAAGGAGCTGTAGCTCTTAGGTTTCTGAAATTTCAGCATATGCTAATGGAGAGTCATCTATTGAGATATTTTTAGTTTTGGGTTTAAGATGGGTTTTGAGAAATCGGTTTGTTATAAGAAATTCAATGCCTAACCCATAGTAATCAGTAACTATTTCTCAAGTGTCAATAAATTTTCCCATCACTTTTAGGTACTAAATTATTGTTCTTATTCTTAGCGTTTAGCCTCTGTGGGGTTGGATGCCAAAAACACAGTCTGCATTTGGGACTGGAGGAAGGGAAAACTTCTGGCCTCAGCCACTGGCCATTCTGACCGGGTAAGAACTTGCTGGATCAAGCTATGCAGATTTCAGAACTGGGGGGGACCTGTGATATTGCTTCTCAGACTTCTAATGTTTTTAAAAGTTAATTTTTCACGTATACATTTTTCCTATTAAACTTATAAGCATCTTCTTTTTTCATGATTAACAGCTAACTGTGTTAATGTGCTTCTGGTGATCAAGTACTTTATATGGATTGTTACTGCTTTTTATAGGCAAAGCAAATTTTTGATGCTGGCATTTTACTACTTTATGAAATCAAAATGGAATTGAATTTGAAATTATGTATAGTTTAGACGTATTCATTTAGAAATGGAAATAGTTGTTAGAAAATAGTCACAAAATATGATTACAGGGGTACACATTTTAATTTTGAATGAGTGTAATGACAGCTTTGTGATTCTTTGTTGTATTTGAGAACATTGAATGTGGCCTGCTTATTCCTATTGAAGTCAGTGTGATCAGAAATAATTCCATGTAGTCTTAGGCGATGAAGTGGGTTTATACATATAACTGGTCAGAAATCTAATTTGCCAGTGTCTTGCATGATTAAAATAATTTGACTCCTTTATTATCTTGGGTTCTCTAGTTTAAACAATGAATTTGCGTGACTGTCTTACTTGAATTTCTAGGTGTTTTGTATTTCTGCACAATGTAAGTGTTCATGTGGAACAGGCTGTCCAATCTTTTGGCTTCCCTGGGCCACAGTGGAAGAATTGTCTTGGGTCACACATAAACACCAACACTAATGATAGCTGATGAGCTAAAAATCAGATCATCTCATAATATCTTAAAGTTTACAAATTTGTGTTGGGCTGCATTCACAGCCATTCTGGGCTGTGGGTTGGACAAGCTTGATGTAGAATCAGGCTCTAATTAAACATGAAATTCACTGTCTCTTGCTTAGAAGGAACTCCTAAAAAAAATTTTAAGTACGAATGGCACATTCATCTATGGAGGTTTGTAGTTGTAAGGAGACCCCACAGATGTTGCAAATTCTACTCCAGGATCAAGTCTTCAGAAAGCTCAGGAGTGACCAACAATAGAACCTCAGTACTGGGAGAGGCCTGGTACCCCACTGGTCCAGTGGTTCCCAATCCTAGCTACACATAGAATCCCCTGGGGAGACTTCACAGCTTATATATATATATATACTCGTATGTAATATTTTATCTGAGTTATGCTGCATTTACTACTTCTGTTTCTGAATCATTTTATATAGTCTGACCTGGACTAGTATACTGTCTATCTATCTTATCACCTTGGAAAAAGTAGAAAACTAAAGTTACAAACAGTTTAAACCCGTAAAATCTCCTTACTTAGAAATAGCCTAATGTAATCACTTTGGCTTGTATAGAAAGAACATTTATTGTTAAATTCTTACTGTTAGGCTAAATTTGGCCTCAGCTGCCCTCCATATGGTAAGTCTCTACAAAATCAACTGCAACTTAGCTTGGTAAGTAACCAGACTGAAAATTTAGGTGTATGCTTCTGTAACAAATAGCTGAATGGCAGCCAGCTTCAGCCAATGGCAGGCTGCCACCTGTTCAGACCATGCCCAAATAAAGCAAATTCGGAGCTGAAACTAGGAAAGCTGTTTCTGTACCTCAGTTCATTTTTCCCAGGATGCATATACCTAGTGCTGAGTCTGTAATCTTAGGATGTTTTAATGAAATGCTTTATTTGGAACACTGTTCCCCCAGACCCCATAATCTGTGTCACACATAATTTTGCTCTTTATTACTGATACCAGTATGAATTATTTACTGCTTGTGGCTAACTTCAAGATTATCTTCAAGATTATTTTAGTGGCACTAAAATACTTAATCCATTACATTTATATAATGAATGTTTTATACCCTGCAAAATAACTTGATATACTTTATCTTCATTGACCTTAACAAAACTTGAGGTGGTATAATCCGCTGTAGAGAAGATGAGGTTAAGGTTAGAGGTGCTCAGACTTGCCTGAGCTTGGATGGCTGAAATGGATACTTGGACCAAGTACTTTTTCTTCAGTGCTCTTTCCGGGGACCCTAATTGCTCCTTTATATGTGATGAGCAGTTAGTGGTCTAGGTTATTTCTCTGGTCTAGACTTTGTCCCTTACAAGTAGTCCTTCCCTTTCTATCAGCGTGTCATGGAATGTGGTCCATGGATCCACCTCTGTCAGAATCTCCTGGAGTCTGTTTAAAGATTTGGGTATCTGGACCCACTAAATGACTAAATTCCAGACCCACTAAATGACAGCATCTCAAATGGGCTCTGGAAATACCTGTTTTAAGCAATTGCTATGGGCGATTTGATTCTCAGGATTGACGGTCTTTTCCTTCTTGTCTCTGAAATGGAAATAGAACTACCTGCAAACTGTCTGGTAGCTCTTGTTAAAGAATGACAAATAGTAGTAGCAGATATATTTTCAGTTCATCGTATAATTGAAAATATAATAGTATTTGGGTCAGATTAAAATGATAGCCTGAGGGACTGTTTTAAGTTAGTGTCAGATAAATGCCTCTGCTTTATGTTTAGGAATATTAACTTCTGTGATTGCTAGAGACTATTGGCCACATTAAATTGTAGTTAACTATTGAATGTTTTCCTGGTTAAAAATAAGTATTTAAAAATTCTTTAAATTTCTATTGAAAAGCTATCTCCAAAGTGTTAGCATTGTGGAGAGCTATTGAAAAATTTGATCAAAAATTGATCCTAAATTGTCCATTTGTTTATCCCAAAATATGACACCAGTTTGTTTTAAATAATTATGGTAAGTTCTCTCTCTACTCAGGCTTTAAGGTAAGTAGACATGAGGTGATAACATGTATGTTAGTTCCTGACTCATTCCAAGCCAAATCTTCCATTTTTATCCTGTGCAGGTAACATTGTGTTCTAAATGTTAGGGTAGAGTCTTGGCAATTGGACTAGTATTTGGAAAAGGCAAAAATATGTCAAATGACCAACATGGCAACTTTTAATGTTTTGAACAGATTTTTGATATTTCCTGGGATCCATATCAGCCAAACAGAGTGGTTAGCTGTGGAGTAAAACATATAAAGGTAAAGTTTTTTGTTTTTCGTTTTTTAATTTTGGTACCTTGAGTGCAAATAATTTTAGGTGTTTATATAGATAATTTGATGTTGAGAGACTGCTTGACTTTTACCCTTTTTTTCTTCAATATAGAGCCCTCTTACCTGTTTCTCTGCTCCTGAAGCAAACTAACATCAGCTGATGGGGCTCTCTTAGAAATGCAAAGTAATGACAATCAAGTGAAGTGCTCAGCAGGCAGCTGAAAAGGAAATTTTATGTAAATTAAATATCGAACTGAAGACTCATAATACTTGTGGGATTGCATGTTTTAAAACAGTGCTGATTTTAATGTTGTGAAGTAAGTTTTTCCATTATAATGAATATTTACACATTTGCATGTCAACACTTTGACATGTTACATTCCCTTAAAAGAAAGGTGTCATGTTGCACTCTACAAGGAAATAGAGGAATTCACAGTACAAAGCTATCTGGACCATTGGTTTTTAAACGCCCCAATCTTCCTCTAGACTACTCTTTCATCTGGGTAGGCCCACATTTGCTTCTTATTATTTTGTTCACAAGTAGCAAAATTAACTGCATCAACATGCTTTGCTCTGACATAGCAAAAATTTCTCCTGACCCCTGGGATATGGCCCAGGATCTTCTTTCTCTATAGGATTGTAAATAATAGAAGTTAAAGTCCATAAACAAGAGTATAAGGATTACCTTCTTGCATAGAGCATGCATGGATTCTGTACAAAAATGGTACATTTCTGTATGAATGAAGATTTTCCTCTAACCAACCCCTCCTATTTTGCAGTTCTTTTAGTCTAGTTTTTCACGATCCTTCCCATTATTCTTACTTGGTTAGAAAGGGACAGATGATAAAATACTCAAGTATAACAAATACGGAAGACTTACCTAAAGAATGTTACAAAACTCTGCAGAGGAATGTAAAACAATACTTGAATAAATGAAGTGATAATGTTGATTCTGGACATGTCTAAAATTTACAAATGTATCATTTATCTCCAAATTTATATTTGGTAGAAATGCAGTTAAAATCCCTGTTACTTCTGTTTTTACCTGACAGAATTTCCCTTTAAATTATCCTGAATTAATCTGGGAGCATAAAATAACGACAATAACTATGAACTTTGGGATAAAAAAAGAATCATGAAGAGGATATGTACCACTATTTACTAAAGCATAGTAGAATTTAATTTAAATGGTATAAGACTTGGATGAAAAGAAGTAATGCTGAAAAATAGACCTTAATATGTATGACAACTTAGAGTATAATAGCATCTCTAATTGGTAGGCACAAATTTATCAATTTTTTGGATAAAGCTAATACTTCATACTATACACTAAAACAAAGTCTTTATGGATTAAAGAGGTAAGTTTCAAAAACTTTAAAATAACTAGAGGAATATATAGACAAATGTTTAACTGCTCAAATTGGAGAAAGATTTTTTAAAATGTAAAAGCAAAGACATCATAAGGGATAATACTGATGCAACTGTAGAAATATTAAAACATTCTGTATAATTCCTTGTTTCCACAAAAAGAGGGAAACTGCAAACTAGCAAAAGTATAAGCAGCACACAAAGTAGATAACTGGGTTGTTCTGAAAATGCAAAGACCTCTTGCAAATCTGTAGAATGGACAAAGAACATGGAAAACTGACAAAAATAGAAACACTGTTGGCCAATAGACTTATGAAAACGTTTAAATCTCATTAATAATTAAGGAACACAAATTTAAAAATAACAAAACATTTTAAATATATCAAATTTATGACTAAAAGTACCCTATCTTGGCAAGGATTCCGTGAATGAGCACTGTTAAACCTTGCTGGTAGAGAGGGGTAAGCTGATAATGGTCTTTTGGTCCAGAAATTTGGAAATATTTATCCTTAGAAATGTCAATTATCGTTGATCCAGTAATTTCATATCTTAGAATCTGTCCCAAGCAAATTGTTATAAGTGTGAACCAAGAGCTGACTCATTGCTGAGTAACTGATCAATAGCAAATAACCAAATAGAAGATCTGAAATAAACCAAACAGAAGATCTGAAACCACTTAAGTGTCTCTAGGAAGTTGAATAAAATGTTACATCCATATGATGAAACACTGTACGATCGTTATGTTTTAAATGATTCATTATATTGGGAAATATTCAAAATCTATTATGTGGGGAAGTTCACAGTTGACTTTGTGGGTGGGTGATGGTGGGATTAGATTTGTGGCTTTTTCTTTAAAAACATTTTTATGTAGGAAATACATTAGAAGGACATCTCCAAATGTTAAACAGTATCTCTGGGTAGTGGGTTGATGGATAATTTTTCCCTTGTATACTTCATTGTAAAATTATTTTGCAATAATATATATTCCAAAATAAGAAATTTAAAAATGGAGAACAAAAATTTCAGAGGTTCCACTACTCAAAAGTGGAAGATATTCCACAACACTTTAGAGTTTCATAAACATTTAATAATCCTGTACCAAGCCCTGATGTGTATATTTTTAATCTAGGAAAACGTCAGCTGAAATCTAGGTACTTTGCTTTATTAGCAGCAGCTGGAGGCTCCTTCTATGCTTGGTACAGCACACCTGAAAGACCAAAATCTCATTCAGTTTTATATTTGAGTTGGTACTGGATGAAAGAACAAAAACAGACCCTACTTTCAATTTGCTTGAAGTTCAGCCATTAAAACATTAAGACAGACCATTTTGGAAGAAAGGTAAAATCAAAGCCCTCTATCGATAAAGATGAGATCCCAGCTGGCTTTAGAAGCACGTTGTCAGGATGGAGATGCTGCTTAGGCTGAGCCTCGGTGGGTGTGTGAGTTTGGTAGGAAGGATTGGGAGGCAGAACTAGGGGAGGGGTTGCACTTCTGTCAGGAGTTAAGAGAGGCATTGGTCACCCATGGAAGTGTGGGACTGGGGAGCTGGGATGGCCCATGGCTCGTGATATGTTCCAAGATTACCAATGTTTTCATTACCAAAGAACCTATTCCATAGTTTTCTTAGGAAACAAATATTTTGAAAGATGGTGGCCACAAAATAAACTAGCCATTGAATCATAGTTTCCTTAGCAATGTTTTATCAGTCAAAGATGTGTTATCTGCCAACATGAGTTTCTGATCAGACTAAAATATGAAAATTGTTTCAGCCATGAGTAAAAAAACATGTGAGTTCATGATGATCCTGATTTCTGTTAGGCTGTGGGGGGTTTCTGGAAATTTGGGACCCTAACCTGGGAGCCATCGTCCATCCTGTACTCAGCGCTGAAGAAACCCAGGACCCTAGAGGGTTAGGTGGGAATTGGACTTCTATTCGTAACTGTTTCCCTCTACTTGACTCTGGGCAACCATTTAATCTCCCTGAGGCTGAATTAATATTGATTCATTCTATCTCAGAGAGAGGTCACTACCTCCTGAATTTAAGATAATTACATTAAACAGTATGAAACCCAGTAGGGGCACAATAATGTTAATTTCTTTCCCCATTTCCTAGAATCACAAAAATGATGGCAGAGGTGAGATTAAAGCTCAGCCTCTGACTCATAGAGCTCTTTCCACTGAGAAATTTCTTTAGTGAACTACCTTGCCTTAACTTTTTTCAGAAAGAAAACCCCGCATTTTTTGGGTTCTAACTAGATTTGCTGCTTAATTGATAGAATTCTCCTGATTCCTTCCTATCTCTTTCTATCCTTGGTTAACTCTAACTTTTAAGTCGGTAAATTCTAAAAGCAGAAAAGCTGAGACAAGATTCTGAAACTTTATTTGAAAACAAGAGCTACTTACCCTGTTTAAATTTAATCGTCTTAGCAGAACTTGGATATTTTTTCTAAGCAAATACAAGCATTTTTACCTCAAAGAATCTGGAATGTCTACCTAGCAATATTTTATTAATTTTGTTTAGAAATATAATAAATTTAAGCAAACCTCAGCAAATTATTTTTCCTATCTGTATTCTGTATATCCAATTACCAGGATTCCTCCACTTTTCTTCCCAAAAAAACCTACCTTAACATTGAATTATTCCAGTCATACATTGAGTGCAAAATCTTTGTACTCGAAGAAAATACTTTCATCTGAAATTTGTGTAGCTAGGGTGAAATCCTTTTCGGATTTGTAAATCCCCTATGTTTTGGCAAACAGGCAAATCGCAATTACATGAAACAAATGCTTGAAAAACAGTAACAGTTGAGCATCAACCGCTTCATTGGTTTTATAGCAAATGAGCCTACCAGGTTTGTGGATACTGTTGAGCCGTCTCTAGTCAGACAGAAGGGACTTCAGGGACTACCTAGGGCTAGATGAACTCAAGGTACCTGCCAGCTGTAACAAAATTTGCATTGCAGTCTGTGGGTAGAGACAGGAGAAGATAAACAAGGTCTCCTCATTTGATGTGAATTTAATCATGCATTGCTACCCTAAACTGCCGCTGTTTTTCATGTAGGAAATGCTTCTCAAAAAGAGATAATATTTCAGGTATTTGCCATTTTCTGCAGAAAATATCACAATTTTAGGGAATCATTTGACTATTTGGAATGTTTCATGTGGGCCTTATACCATCTGACCTGGTGACTTGTCAGTAAACTTCTATGTAGATCAAGTCTGAAGATAACGGGGTCTATTTTTTGTGACTGTCTAGAAATATTCAGATAACTCAGGCCGGGGGTGTACATCCAAAGTTAAAGGACAAAATAATTCCTTTAATCTTCATGCATGAGGAGGTGTAAAGAAAAAGGGAACTGTCTGCTGTAAGCATTGCCATGAACAGCAAGTTCTTAGGCATGTTGGTACAACCAGTAATCATTTATGTCTAATTGTTTGTTTGGGTTCAGAGTAACAGCTTAAATGTTTTCCAGAGCTTATACCTAACTAGCTTTTTCCTAGATGTCTTTATTCTTTATTAAAAAAAAAAAAAACTTTAGGCTGGGCACGGTGGCTCATGCCTGTAATCCCAGCATTTTGGGAAGCCGAGGCGGGTAGATAACAAGGTCAGGAGATGGAGACCATCCTGGCTAACATGGTGAAACCCCCATCTCTACTAAAAATACAAAAAAATTAGCTGGGCCTGGTGGCAGGTGCCTGTAGTCCCGGCTACTCAGGAGGCTGAGGCAGGAGAATGGCGTGAACCCGGGAGACGGAGCTTGCAGTGAGCCGAGATCATGTCACTGGACTCCAGCCTGGGCGACAGAGCGAGACTCAGTCTCAAAAAAAAAAAAAAAAAAAACTTTGTTACAGGTGTGTGCTACCACTCCAGTCTAATTATTTTTGTAGAGGTGGGGTTTTGCCATGTTGCCCAGGATTGTCTGTAACTCCTGGGCTCAAGTGATCTTTCTGCCTTGGCTTCCCAAAGTGCTGGTATTACAGGCATGAGCCTGCTTTATTCTTTCAACATATACTTTAACACCTTTTCATTAATAATACCCAAAGAAATGAGTTACCAGAGCTGATACCTTTTTCTGAGAAGATAATCCCATATTGGTCCTTCATTGTGTATCTGCCCTTCATTCTTGCCAAGGCATCCCTCTATTCCCCAACCTGCTGCCACGCACACAGCACAGCCCCCCACCCCCAGCTGCCTGAATCCTGGCCATCTTGGTGTTATAGCCATCCCAGAACCGTTTCCTCCAGTACCCAACTACTCTGAGAGGACCATGGTTTTTCCTCTCCTGCAGGTGTAAAATAGTGCGGTTGTTACTGATTTATTCCCACATTCCTGCCATGTGGTTTCATCTCATCCTGCTCTTCTGAATCCAGATGCAGTTTCTTCCTCACCGCTGATCGGAGTCCTCTTGTTCATTCTGTTTAATTCAACTTAGTTCTCTACCTTTGAATTTCCTTGCCACCTGGGCACAGTCTGAATATGCGATTTAAAATTATCTCATTGTTTCATTTGCCTCTGCATTGATTCAAAGTTGTCAAAGCAAAGATAAAGATTTCAATATTTTTTCTAACCCTATTAAACCTTTACCTTCGGTGAGCTACTTCTGTTTGTTTTCCCTGCCCTCCAGATGGAGATGACAATACTGTCTTCCTTAGCCTATTAAGGGTTTTGATAGGATCAAATAACTTAGCATATGCAAATAGCCTTTTTAAACCGAGGGGGGCCATATCAAGGACAATGAGGTTATTCTAGTTGATACATTAAAACTATGTTAAGGTTTTGAGAGGCCAAGTGGGGCTGATCACCTGAGGTCGGGAGTTCAAGACCAGCCTGACTAACATGGTGAAACCCCATCTCTACTAAAAATGCAAAAAGTAGCTGGGTGTGATGGCACATACCTGTAGTCCCAGCTAACTGGGAGGCCGAGGCAGGAGAATCACTTGAACCCAGGAGGCAGAGGTTGCAGTGAGCCGAGATCGGGCCACTGCACTCCAGCCTGGGCAGCAGAGTGAGACTGTCTCCCCCTGCCCCCAAAAAAACTATATCAATGCAAAATATTTTGTGTCTGTATAACCATGGGAGTGTCCTTACTACCTTCTATAAAATTGCTGAAGTTTTGTGTATGGTATTCTACACGATGGACACATTTTATACAACTAAAACTGAAAAGCCTAGTCAATTATTTGGGTATGTGGAAATATGACTCATTTATGAAACATTTCTAAGTAACATTTCTACAATGAAGATTTATAACATTGAAAGTTAGAAATTATTTCCAAATATATGTACACTAAAAATACCTAGATATAGCTGGGTGCAGTGGCTCACGCCTGTAATTCCAGCACTTTGGGAGGCCGAGGAGGGCAGATTACTTGAGGCCAGAAGTTCGAGACCAGCCTGGCCAACATGGAGAAACCCTGTCTCTACTACAAATACAAAAATTAGCTGAGCTTGGTGGTGCACTCCTATAATCTCAGCTACTCAGGAGGCTGACACACAAGAATCACTTGACCCTGGGAAGCAGAGGTTGTAGTGAGCTGAGATCGCACCATTGCATTCCAGTCTGGGTGACGGAGTGAGACTCTGTCTCAAAAACAGAAAAAAAAAAAAAAAATCTAGATGATATGTCAACAGGCTAACCAGAAGTTATAGACCTTCACAGTTTTCCTTTTTATACTTACCTGAGTTTCTAAACTGCAATAAACCTATACTAGTTTTATAACTTGACAAAAATCTAAGCAAAACATGATTTGTCCATTTGATTCCAACTCTGAGAACATTATCTTCTATTAAATCACCATTAAACAATGAGCAAAGCTTTGAAATTTTGGAACTTTGAAAGTTTTAAAAGTGTTGTTACAGGCTTTTCTCATGTTCCTGGTAGTTAGCTAAAATGTTTTTGTGTTACATGTTGTTGTGTTACAGCAAAGCAAATTAACTTATTTGTGCTTAGCTTGGATAGGGCAAATTATGTGAAATGCACTGAAATATAAACACCAATGCAATACATCCAAATACTCTATCTTGGAGATCTATTTTATCACTTACATTCTAGTTTTGGACACTGTGTGGAAATGCCCTGACTGCAAAAAGAGGGATATTTGGCAAAACGGGGGATCTTCAGACCATCCTTTGCCTTGCATGTGCCAAAGAAGACATCACCTACTCTGGTGCTTTAAATGGTGACATCTATGTCTGGAAAGGGCTCAATTTAGTCCGTACCATTCAAGGAGCACATAGTGTAAGTATTACCATGTGGAAACTGTGAGTGACTTACTAAATAAGGTAAGACCACGAATCCCTCCCTGTATTTTTCTCTTGTTGCTTTAGAATCAGAGGACCCTGCTGAACACTCTCCACTCATGACAATTTCCCAAATTACATTTGCTCACCTAAAGGAAAACATATTTCAAAGCACACAATGTAATTAACCTTCACTTTAACTATTAATTGCTTGATTTGTGTCGTCCTCAGTAGTGTGACAGAATACTAGAACTAGCTCATCAGGTTCATCTTACCGGCACTTCTCAAACTTTAATTTGTCCATGAGTTTCTGGAGGATCATGTTAAAATGCAGATTCTGGCTCCATAGGTCTAGGATGATGTCGCCACTGCTCATCAGTGACCCATAGTTTGAACAGGAAAGGTGTAGATAACTATTGCTCTTACATTGGTTGATAAGATAGATTGTCCTCATTCTTTACGTTGAGGTGCAGGGTGTTATCTCCACACCAGTGTCTTGAGCTCTTAAGGTACAATCAGAAACCATTGATAACCACATATCTTCTGGTGGTCTGCTCTGTAAGAACAAGGACGAACTTCTTACCACTCTGCCCTCTTTTTTGACACATATGAAAATGACTACATTTTTGTATCTACAGATGATAAAATTGTCCCTACAAATGGGAAGATGATGTGAAAGGCAAAGCCTATCATAGTGAATGGAAATTGGGTAATGATATTACTGGAAATGATAAACCTTTAGCTTATTGCCTCCAAACTGGTTCCCTATACCCTTAATATGAAGAAAAGTTTAAGCAACTTTTAGAGTTATGACATTTCAGATCTTTCACTATATGTTGCAGGTGAATTTTCTTGGCTTCACTAATTACGAAACAGCTCTTAAAATAATAGGTCAGTATTTGTCCTCATTCATAAAAGCAGCTGCCTTAGTAACCTAATTTCTTTTTATACTGGATCTTATGTCAACATTATATTCTTGCAGCACTCTTGAACAAACCAAATAAAGTATTTTCCTGTGGAGGAGCATCTTTAAATTACTAAAACTATTTCCCATGTGAAAATCTTCAAACGATGCTTAACAAGCTAACACAAGTGCAATTTACATTTTCAGTTAGGTTCAAGTGATACCTTTGTGAGCTCACTGAGGTACATTTTGGGCACTTTTGTGCCTATGAAAGTGTTTATGTTCCTAGCCTCTTATCTCTACTTAATTATTTTAGGCAGCAACTTCCATGAAACACCTCCATAGTTGTCTTTTCTCTCTAAGGGCCACTTATCACATAAAAGAATTTGGTTCCCATACCTGCATTAATTATATTTTTGAATTTTTTTAAAACTGCCATCTTTTTAGTAGTGGTAAAAGAGCACTTAAACTAGTTTGCTTTGATTATTATGATTTTTTTAAATGTAGCTGAGATGAACAGTATCATAAATGGCTATTTGGTCTATTGTCAGCATTTCAATAGAGAACAAGGGGGTTTTATTTTTGTTTTTGCCTTGTTATGTTTTTAAATCAACATTCAACTGTATCTAGTCATCATACTTAGGATGGTTGCAGCATTGAGTATTACCTATTTTAATCAACAGGCTGGAATCTTTAGCATGTATGCTTGTGAAGAAGGCTTTGCCACTGGTGGGCGAGATGGGTGTATACGACTATGGGACACTGATTTCAAACCAATAACCAAAATTGATCTCAGGGAGACAGAACAAGGATATAAAGGTAATATATGTGTTAAACTTACCTGTAACTCTGGATGTGAAATATAATGTGAAGTTCTGTATTCGTATTTGTTTCTTTGTACCCCATTTTTAAAAGGCAGTTTATATAAATACATTGAATACAAGCAAAAGTATGTTAAAAGTAAATGGATGTCCTTTTTCCTAATTTGCACAAATGCATCTGTATGAACCAGCAATGCTGCAGCCAAAATAAGCATTCTGATGAAGTTGCTGAGGTTTCTTAGGAGATGGGATTGTCAGTGACAAAACCGAGAAATTCTAGACAAGTTGGTTATCGTAAGAGTGAATGTGCCCAGCCTCTGAAAACAAATGAGAGGAGAAATGTGACAAATTTATTTTTTAAAGATAGATTTAAAGTAGTAGACACTATAGTAGTAGGGATTAAGGGCATGGGCTCAGTCATGTGGTGTGGGTTCAAATTCTTTTTCCCTATGAGAGAGTTAAGAAATTGAACGGCAGTCTCAAATCTCGGGGCATCTATTTCCCCATCTATAAAAGGGAGATAACACCAGCACCAGCCTCCCATGGTTGTATGAGGATTAAATATACTTGTGAAATGCTTAGGATGAGGACTAAATATACTTGCAAAGTACACTTAGCACTCAAATTGTTAGCTATTCTCACAGTATATAGAGTGTGTATATCAGAATGATACATCTTTTAAAATTCTCATGATAGGCCTGTTACCTTTTGGCAGATAAAGAATTTACAGCCGAGAAAGATTAAAGTGGAAAATGTAAATAGGAAAGACAAGAGGAAGTCGTAGCGTTGTTAATATGCTAAGCACAGGTTGGGAGGTTCTGACTCCCCACGGGTGGGCCGCAGACCCAGCGCCAAGGGAGGGGTACATGGTACTGTGAGCCGTGGAGGTCCACAGGATGAAAACTTACCCATCGTTCTCATGAAGGGGAATCTTTTTCAGTGCCGAGATGAGGGAGAGATTTCCTGAGCATCTTTTAGAGAAGACCCGGTGACATAGGGCTCAAAGTCCTCAACAGGCCTGAAACGAGCTGTTTCTCCTGGGTTGTTCCTCATGAAGCCCCCGCTTGTGACCTGATGGTGATGCTGCCACAGAGGTTGTTTCATAGGCCAGATCGTGTGGCAGTGCGCAGTGCTCTCTGCTGGCCTTGGGTAGATTTCAGAGGACTGGGAGAAGACAGCGTAGACTGCGTATCCTTCAGGCCATCCTTAAATAGTGTTGTTTTCAGTAAAACTTTTCCAACAGTTGAGCAACAGGGAAATGAGCTGGATATTGTACTTCATGTTTATACCTGGAGGCCAGCTGCTTTATGTATCTGTGAAACAAAAATGTGCATTTAAGTCAACTAATCCAGGATTGGACTGTTGTCTTCTCATGGAGGCTCAGGATGCTGGTGTGCACACATTTCTGAATACTGGGCACAGAGGTTGGCATAGGAAGCTGTGGAATTTGGTGTCTACCTCAATGTAGGGACAAGGAGATCAAAGTCCTTAAGTTCTCTGCCATAGAGTGTGGGCCAGGGAAACTTGATCCAGAAAAAACATAACAAACAGATATAAGCAGGTAAGTACCCGTAAGAGCATTTTTTTTTAAGTACAGTAGCCAAAAGTGTTTGACCTTGAACCATGAAGCTTCTTGGTGTATCTTTCAAGGTAAACCAGAAACCAAAACATATACTTAGAGAGTGGAGTCAACTTGCCAGATGGGATTAGTAACCATAAACTGCTTAAACATTGGAGAGCACCAACCAGGATTCATGACTCTTATTTGGCAGTTACTCCATTTAATCTAAAAAATGTATCACATAATTAAGGTATACATTTTAAAGCATAGGGGTCAGCGAAGAAGCTATTGGTTTACCCTGCTATACTTTTCTGCCCAATACTGAGTCCTTGAGCCTGGCTCTCCTGGGAGAGTTCAGGGACCAGTTCTGAATGAGTATCTATGTAACCAGGTGTTGTCCTGATCACATGGGCCCCACAGCCACCTCGCGTCTACAGTTAGGACAGTCAGCGATGCCCTCTGTTGGACATCAGTCTCAGATTCCCACCCCATCCTTGCCAAGATGAAAGCAGATGTGGGTGGTACACAGTGGACACTGGGAACCCGAAACAAGCCTGCACCTCATAGGATGTGCCCTGTGGTGCCTGGGCTTGGCGTTTATCAGGGATTGGTGTGCATCTTAGATGACTTACTGATAAGGCAGTAGCCTGCGTTTTGTGGGGAGAAACAGACTGCTTTTAAAGGATGGTATAGATCATGTTCCAGTTTGAGTCCAAGGGAGTCAGAGAGGGCATGGGGGCTGGGATGGAGCTCCTAGGAGAGTGGAGATGGCACTGCTTAGCACGCAGCCCCGCAGTGTGGATGCTCTAGATGACGTCTTCACTTTTAGAATTGCTGCTGACCACCAGTACTCTTAATTGCTTAGTATTTTACTTTAAACTGATTAATGTATCTTTTTAAAACTTCGCTGTAAACTAATATTTGTAACGTGAGTTTACTATGCTGGGATCTAATTTTTGCCCTTGGAACACCCACCTAAAATTATCCCCTCCCCCTGGCTTGGGCAACATTGTCACAAAAGGCCACTGTGTATCATCAAGCATCAAAAGAGTTGCTGGCCTTCATTCCAGCCCCAGTGAAAAAACAATATACATGTAGCATCAAAAGAAGAAAAGGCTCCTGGTTTGAGTTATGGTAACAGCTAAAGTCTGGCCCACCCATTGCTCCCAACTTAGGGAGTTCTGGAGCCTGCATGGACAGGGCCATGTGGGGAAACTTGCTCTAAATCCCCCTCTAAGGCACTCTGTCGCGCTCAGCCAGGCCTTGGTGAATAATCAGCCAGGCCATTATTCCACTGAAGCAAGGAAGGAGGATGTGGAGTTCCAGGGCCATTTTCCACAGCTCCGAGCAGGGAGAGACTCTCAGAACCGGCCCTCCTGTGGTCTTGGAGGCCGGCTCCCGGGGCCATCCTGTGATGGGGCAGCCTCTCCAAGGCATGTGGAGGTGTGCCCCAAATCCAAAGTGAAGTAGAGTGACCCAGCACAAGTATAGGAATTAAAATACATAGGATTTGAGGAAATAAAAGTAATCAAGATGTAAATAGCTTTCTGGCGTAGCTTCCCCTTCAGCCAGGCAATACCATACCCTTGGTCCTTTGAACATTAGCAGAGAGCTGAGCAAATAAGAGGGAGGGAAAAGGGAAGGAAAGAGGGTGGGAAAGGAACAAAAGAAAGCAGAGTGGACAGAAGATGGTCAGGTGTCCTCCCCACCCCCCGCCACCCTCTCATCCCTTCCCTCAAAGAAGACTTGGCTTTCTGCTGCACCTCTCTTTGCCTCAAACAAACCAAGTATATTTGAAAGGAACAGATGCAGGCAGAGCAGCGTTAGACTTCCTTGCCCTCAGTTTGGACATGAAGCTTCCTTGCTCTCAGTTTGGACATGACAGTTTTATTTTTATAAGAACTATCTTGATATAAATGAGCTTTCTTCTGTGTTTTTGCTATTTGTAAAACAGTGACACTCGAATTTATTTCAATGGAAATGTAGTGATTTTTCATCTTACTCAAACAGCCAAATAGTTTTCTAAGCAAATTTAACCAGAGAATTAATCATGGCCATAGCCCAGTTCCCATGACATGGTATGGGTAATTTTCTATGTTCTATACATTTAAAAGCATTAGCGAAAATTAAGAAATTGCTACTTACTAGTGCTTAGGAATCTGAGGGTATTTATAAAGATCACACTTAGTGTACTACCTGTAAAGACTTGTGTTGCTCCTCCTGTAGATGTCTAGATGATTTACAAAATGAATCTGACAATTTCCAAGTTGTTTAATGCAAATCTTTGCAAGATTGGCATACATTTGCATCTTCTAATAACTATTAGCTGTTAACCATCAAGAAAGAAGTTTTAAGATGAACCAAGATGGTTACTAAGCTCAGAAAAAAATGATGACATGGCTTTGTAATAAAGTGACATTGTTAATTCTTTTACGTCTTTGTAGTAGCTTGAGCTAATTAGGACACTTGACTTACAGTAAAAACAATTAACCCCACTTTAGGCTGAGTGTGAATCGGCTTGGAGATGGGTCACATTCACATCAAGAATTGGTTAGTGTCAGATCTGATTCTCCGGCTCCCTCCCTTCTCCCCAAGGCTTAGTCAAAGAAAATGTCCCTCACATGATAAGGGGGGCCATCCCTCAGTGAAGGGAATTATAGCGTTTTACTTGCACCAGTGACTTGTGCATCTTTTGTGAGTTATTGGATTTTTGCTGACTGGGTGTTTGAACAGGTTTCTCTAGCAACAACACAAGATGATAGAAACCAACAACCTAATTCCCCCAGGATCCTTCATCAGCAATTCTGAAAGCCAAAAAGTTCAGATTACCAGAAGATTTTTTAAATAACTAATGTGGCAGCAAAACTTGACCCATTATGAGGCTATTAGGTGTTTTTATATATTTTGTTACAGAAGTATTTAATTTCAAGGTGCTGCCTTAGTGTCTGCTGGATATATTACAAGTACAAAATCCAAATTTTTCTGAATTCCAAAATGCATCTGGCACCAAAGGATTTCAGCTATATGGGGTTGTTGTCCTCCAATATACATCTTAGTGAATATAAACTTCTGGAATTTTCAAGTTGGGACAGACCCTGGATGTAAGGCGGCGGCGGGGGATGGGGGGAACTCCCGTACTTCATGGATGGTAGAATGAGGCCCAGGGTCATTAGCATCAAGCTAATTGTAAACTGAGGTCACTCACTCATACCTCACACCAAACTTCATGACAGTGCATGCTGAGTCTGATCACTTTTAAAGCACATTTATGATCTGGGTAAAATAATGAAGCTTAAGTAACTTATAGCGGTGGCAAGAAAAGCCAAAAATTCTTAAAATCCATCAACCAAAATGAATTACTTCTAGGATAATAAAACACCATTGAGTTAATGGTTATAAATGATTCTGACTAAAGGAATACAGTAATTATTGACATG